TCCAGAGCTGCAGCCCAGGCCCCAGGTGGCAGCCGTGTGGGGAAACTCGCACAGATCTGGCTTCCTTCTTGCATGTTTAGCTGGGTCTGGTTTTACTGGTCATGGCATCCACTTGGACCTACTGCTTCACATGGGCTTGAAAAGTTTGTGACACCTTTTTAAAGCCCATTCCTTTCTATAGGTCTAGAAATGAAATAGAACAAACACACACCTCGCTCCCACAGTAGCGTTTTTTGCCTTGAAGTGAACCCACTGTTTGTCTAACCCACCTCTTTTTTGAGTTGTAGTTCCACTTTTTTGTCCTCGTTTATACACACAGATACGCGTGCGCACACATAATGACAACTAATGCATTTTGGCTTCCATTCATTCGAAGTGATCTGGTGTTTTTTGAGTTTTTTTGTGTCTTTTCTTGCAGCTTCTGAAGTCGCCCCATAGTCGGTCGATTCCCCATCACACACCTAGTGCCTGAGTCTGATCCATGTTGGCCCTCCTAGTTCACCATAGATCTCTCATTTTGACTTAGCTGTCTGTTCAGTGGTGATGACTGTTGTTGTTGTTGTGCTTTTTGTTTTATTGTGTCTTTATTATTTATTTTTACTTTCTCCTGGGAGCTATGGCCTCTCGTAGCTGCTACTAACCCCTCTTTTGTTTATCCCCCACGCTCCTCGCCTCCCGGCAGATCAAAGTGGTGAATGCGTTCCGTAGCTCCTTGTACGAAGGCCTCGAGAAACCCGAATCCAGAAGCTCCATCCATAACTTCATGACTCACCCAGAGTTCATCCTGGAGGAAGACGAGCCTCGAACACCATTCCTTGACGGCGCTGAAGATGACCCCGAGACCGACGGACTCAAAAAGCGAGGTGGGGGTAGCCTGGGTGGATCTACATCCCTCAACAGAAATAACAATGCAGTGGACAGCGATCAAGCTGAGGTCACCGTCCCGGAGCCCGAAAGCCCCTTACACAGCTTGGAGACATCGGTTTGACCTTAGAACTTCGAACCCCCCCCCTCCTCCTCCACCTTCGCCCCTCGCCCTGTGTGATATTGGCACCAGTAACTGATCACACACTGTGGTCACTTCGTGTCAAACTGCTCATACGTATATCATTTTGGTGTTCTGTTTTTGGGGGTTTTGTTTTTTGTTTTTGTTTTTACCATTATTTAGCAGTGGGAACCAGAGTACCACGATGCTGAGTGTTGGGAGAGAGGCTAAGCCAAAATTGTGCATCTCCATCCCTAATTTTCCGTGGTACTCGCCCAGGTGAAGCAGCCAGGTTATTTCCTCTCCGAGAGTTGGGCTCCATGCGTCCGTAGGGGGTTTTCACTTTGAAAAATGCATGTTCAAAGAAAGTTCAAATTGTTGTAGTCTTACATGCACGCTCTCAGCCTGAGGGCTGGGGTGCACTTGTGACTTTATTTTTTTTTCCACTTGTGGTTTTTAGGGTTCTCTTCTAATGTTGGGGTTTGTTCTTTGCTTGTGGGATTTGCCCCCAGTAACTTCACAATGGGAAGTGGGGGAGTTAGCACTCTAGTGCGAAAATTTTAAAAATAAACAAAAAAAACCCAGCCAGGGGGAAGGTGTTTACTCACAGGTTGATAGATACAGGGATGTACACCAGTCTTCCACCTTGAAAAATGGTACCTAGCCTTTACAGTTCCTCCTCTGTGTGTGCGCACACACTTTCCTCTCTCTGTTTCCAAAGCAGTAATTGGTAGACAAGGAACAAAGGTGACTTGGCTGTAGCCTTGCCGGATGTAAAAGATTCTGATTTTTCTACAAAGCAAGGTGGAAGTGAACTGGCAGTGGAAGGGTGGTGAAGAAAAACCCCATGGTTGTGAGAAACAGGGCTCCTTCCTGGGGAGTCTTGAGAGATGCATGTCTTCTGCCCTTGAACAGCTGTGAAACTTTTGGCGAGAGCCTTGCAAAGGTTTAACGGCTCCTGCCATCAAGAGCAGAGGGACTCTTGCCCGTTCTGGCCTGTCTGTACTCTTGGGTTAAATAATCCTTCAGCCTCGGAGTACAAGTTCTGGTTAACTGCTGGGGAACCCCAGAGGGTGCTCCAGCCGTGCCCACCAGCTCTGCGCATCGCTGCCAAAGCGTCAGCAGGCTGAACGGAGAACAAGCGTCGGGTTATTGACAGTACAGTGGGTCAACTCCTAGATCATGGAAGGGATGACTCAGGTTGTCTCTTTAGCTGGTAGGAGGGAGGGAGGCTCCATGGCCTTTGCTTTCCATAGCACTTCTGTAGCTGATTTGCCAGTGGAGGCAATTCCTCGCAGAGGTGGCAGGTTGGTTGGTTGGCTGCAGGTTCTTCCAGAGAAGGTGCTGCATGGAGGCTTTGCCTCACTTGCTGCTTTTTTGAAGGTCATCTCTTCACCCTGCGTCCTGCCTCACCTCGGTGTCTTGTAACCATTTGGTGAGAGTCCTGGTTTCCTGGAGCAGAGGCCCGAGGTGTCCTGGGCAAGTTGGCTCTAAACTGGCCCTCTTGTGAAGCCACGGGACTGAGCAGGAGGCAGGAGTTTGCTTTACCTGGGCTTAGTTTCTTCCCCGTGGGCTCTTGCTGGTGCACCCCTGGTTACTGGCCCCAGGCAGGCAGGGCTGGAGGAAGCTCTGCTGCCTTCTCTCCTTCGTCCTGGTTGGCTTGGTCGGAAGCAGAGAGAACCTGGTTGTAACTGGCTGTACGACGTCATCGTCTTTGCCCAGCCTCCATCCCTGGAAGCAGAGAGGTTTTAGCGAGAGGGTGGGCTGGCTGGTTGTTTCTTTTCTTTCCTTTAAGAACGCACAGCAGAATCTCCCGTGCCTTCTCCGAGCACTGCCTGCAGCACCACCTGCCACGCGAGGGCCCAGTACTTTGCCAAGAAATAAGTGTTCCTTAAACGACAACACAAACCAAGTGTCTTTGTTTTGTTTCTAGCCCAGCACCGACTCGTCCCTTCCTTGGGGTGGGAGGAGGGAAGGACGAGGTCACCCCATTCCCGCCCCAGGTAGCTGAGGAAAGGTCTTTCTCCCAGGTCTCCCGCCTCGGTGCTGGCGAAGGGGGTGAAGGCTGGGCTCCGTACACTGCCAACAGCAAGAAGAAATTGCCACCACTACCCATCTCAATTGCAAATTCAGGGTCAGGCCCCCTGCCCGCGCAGACAAACCCATCGCTGCCCTCCCCGTTCCTTCTTCACACGAGCTGAAAAAATACCTTGGGCAGGACCAGGGGGTGGGGGGGTGTTTTTTTGGGTTATACACAAGTGGTGACAGGAAAGACAAAAGGGGTGGTTGTGGGGTTTGGTTCTGTACTAAAGGTGACATTGCTTAAAAGATCACTTTTTCTATTTTAAATACTTGCAAAAAAAAAAAAAAGGATGAAAAAATGGTGTTCTTACAAGCTTACATAAATATTTATTAAATACTTTGGGGGGGGGATACACTGATTTTTCTTTTTTTCTTTTGATATTTTTTTTATTACCTCAGACCTGTTTAAAAAAAAAAAAAAAAAGAAAAGACTTAAACCAACAAAAACCAACAAAAAGCCAAGTCTGGAGGCTCTCAAAGTAACTCACAGAAATCTGTGACTGGCAGGTTGCCACAAGGGTCTGGTTGTTCTCTAGTTGATATATTTTTGTTGTTCTAGTTTCCATATTAGGAGGGGGAGAAATAATTATATATAAATATTATGCAAAAAATATAGTTTTCTTTAGATCAGAAACTGATATTTTTACGTCAGCCATATGTATTTTGTTTAAAGAAAAAAAAAAAATAAATCTTGAGTCCCGCGTCTGCAACGGCGCGTGACTGTGTGACAGCAGTTCCAAGTGACAGGTAATTAATTCAGTGTATCAGCGATCGGATGCCAGTCAGCTTCCTTTTCTCTGAGCAGCCATCTTTATACTAGACGTTAGTTGGATGACACAAATGTTTTTTTTATATAAATTATGTTGGTATGGCTGGTTGCTTAAAGTATAAACGTTTATTGTGCATACATCTTTTCTGTAAAGTTTTTTTTTTTTTTTCTATTTAGTTTCAGTGATATACTGGCAGCAGATGACTATTGGGTTAAGTTATTGAGGACATTACAAAAGAGTTGGGGGAGATTGGTGCTCTACGCTGAAAGGCATGGTCGGCGGCACGAACTTCTGGGGACTCTCTGCGACATGCCTTGAAAGAGGGGGAGATTTCTTTTTTTTTCTTTTTTTTTTTTTTTTTTTTTTGTTTTGTTTGAACTGCCACGAGTGTGCACGGGGGAGAGTGCCATGCCAGACAGGAACCGAATCATACCCTGTGATACGTGTTAACTTGCCTTGGAATGCTTTGTTATTAAAACACTCTGAACATAATTTTGCATCCAGTTCTTAATAACAGTAGGGTCTCTGGTGGTGGTGGTGGTGGTTTTCTGTTAAATAAATTGGCAGATTGGTACCAAAGACATTACACCACGTCCTGTGTGCATTGCTGAACAAGCATTTTTAGGCATTTGCATTATGTGATAAGGTTTCCTTTGATTTGCACAGGGGTTATACTTAATTTTCAAAGGTTTTGTGCAATAAGCTTTGAGGAAAATTCTGAAACAATCTCAAGAAGGGAAAAAAAAAAACTAAACCAAATTTTAGCATGGGCAGCCTTTGGCTTTCCCCAGCCGAGGAGTAGATGTCCTGTAGTGCTCAGCCCCTTTAGAAATGCTTCTTGGGGTGATATGATGTTGGGGTGAATGGAAAAGCCCCAGCCAGGTCCAGGGAGGGCATCTCCAAGGTGCCATTGCCGACTCCTGTTGCCCTCCATGACTGCAGGGACCAAGCACCTCAAAGAAGAGTCCCTGCAGGCTTTTGTACTTCTCGGGGGAAGGACACATGTACCTGCCTGCCATTGCTCCTCACCGCTGGGTCCAGCTCCTACAAGTTCATCAACCCGTGAAGCATGCAACCCGTAAAACGCCCTCCTGCAAACCCAGCTCTCCCCGGCGGGGCACGGCGACGTGGGGGTACTGCTCTCCTGGTCCTGCCCCAAACAGCGAGGCTGTGGGGCAACGCCGGGGTGGTTATTGGCACCTGGCTGTTCCGCTCCAGCATCTCTCTGCCAAGGCTGATGTCTGGCTGTCCTGCCTCTGATATCCTCCTGCTCAACAAAAAATACAATTTTCATTCAGCAAAGCCCATGGCTAAAACTGCCTTTAGTTTATTTCCTCCCCTTAAATAAATATATATATATATACAGTATTAAACCAACATTTGTGTGTGTATATATATTTATCCAATGCTCTCACAACAAAACTTTCTTTTGAAGAGGGCACGCAGATCTTGAGTTTTTCTTTTCCAGTAACTAAGTATAATAAGCACTGGTATTTTTGTATAAAAACAGAAAAATACAAAACAAAAGACTGAATATTATGTGGTATGCATGACATTAAAAAAATGGTGGTTTCAAAGCAATATGTACCCTGGTGTGTTTGCCATATCCTAGAGTCCAGCTTAAAGTGCACCTGATCTGTATTGCATTTTGATATTAATCTCTATGTACAATGTTTTGCATGTAATTTATATGGTTCTTGGGAGAAAAAAATTTTGAATGAATTGTCAGTTGGCTTCTTCTGAGAAAACAGACTCCAAGCAGAGATAATACTCGAAGCGGACGAGTGGTTGAGGGGTGGGAAAGGGGGTACATAGCAAAAAAAATAAAGCGTGCTGGGGATGGGGGAGAAGGGTAATGGTTTTGAATCAATAAAGCTTTGGCTGTTGAGCAGAAACAATGCGCAAGTGCATCCAGAGAATAAAATGTGCCCACATGTAACTGTGACGTCCTCAGTGTTGTCCACCAGCTTGTGAAATCAATCCCGCATCTTCTCCTAGCACTGGATGAGCGGCTGGGCTTCCCGTCGGAGCAAGACGGAGCGTGGAAGTGGGGCCTGCGGGGTGGATAGAGGGATGGGGATCAAAAGCAACCCCACCACTACAAAAGCACCCCTTAGCGTGGGTTTTCTCTCTGTGTAAGCCTCGCTATTGAGAGGCAGGGGCTGGCTGGCTGCACCCAGCACGTTGTCTCAAGCATGGCTTCTTCCCTCTCCAAGCAAAGTCCAGAACTGGCTGTCAAATGCCATCCAAACCAGTGCTCCTGGGCTAGGTGTCGAGCAAAGGTCCTCCCTTGTCCCCTTCCCTGATGCCGCGTCTGCAGTGCCTCTAAGGTGATGCATGGTGGAGGTTGTGATCTGCATCTCCCGGGGACTGGCTTTGAGCTGTGTCCTGCCTCTCTACTGAGATTATTTTGCCTCCATAGAGGCACTTTGCCCAGATGAGGACAACGGGAAATAAAAGCAACTGGCCTCTGAAATACTCCCATTCCCAAGCAGGTTGATTGTGCTGGAGCTGTTTAACTCCCTGGCTTCGGCGGAGAGGCTGTTGCTTCCCTGTGTCTTTAATAACCCCAGAGCCAAGCCGTGATGAGATCAAGCTGGGCGAGGCCGTCAGTGAGAAAGTTCAATCCAAAACTTCGCAGCCGAGTGTCCGACCCTTGGAGCTGATGACAAGTGACATGAACGGGGCATACCATGCAGTGCCCTCTTGCCTGCTTTCTTGGGGAGGTGTCTGCGCTCACAGCGTCCTCCAGCTCTTAATTCAACAGAAGAGCCGCGACTGCTTCTTTTTTTAAACCTAGTCCAGGCTGGATGCAAAGAAAGAAACAAATCACAGGACTTTTAGTCGTTTAATGGGGGAAATGGCTGTGCATGGCTGCGCGGCCACGGGGCTGGCCCAGGCACCCTCTCCCCCAGGACAGACGCCGCTCCTGCTGACGAGGTGGCCGCTTGCCGCTGCCGCAGGGCCAAACCGGGGGCAGCAGGACACCAGCAGGCTGGGAGGGAGAGGGGAAAAGCGGAGGGAGGCAGGTTTAGGTCTGTGATCTGCCATGAAATCTTAGCAGGCCCATGCTGCCCGGACAGAGGAACGGCTGCTATCCGAAACACCCCAGCCAGGCCCAGGCCTCCCTCCCTGGGGCGCAGCAGGGCCTGAGGTGTCCCGAGGCCCCAGGGCAAGCGGCTGCCAGCCCGGGAAACCGTGTGGAAAACGCAGCTTCCAGCTTGGGAAGCGTAACCCTGAGGCAGCGCCCGGCAGCGCGAGGGAGGGGACGGGCCGCCTCAGGGGCTGAGGCCTGGCACCATGGCGGGCAGGGACGCGCACCCTGACAGGAAGGTGGGCGCGGGGCACCGCAGCCGGGGCGGAGGTGGACGGGAAGGGGGCACTCTCCTGTTCGCCCCACAGCGAAGGGCTTTGCCTGGGGTTAGAGGCGCTGGCGGGGCCCCTCGGAAGAGGAAAGGGCAGAAAAA